AAAAAAAAAAAAAAAAAAAGAATTCAAGCAGATCATAACCAAGATCACAATTTAGGAAAATACACTATTTTTACAGTGATTTCTACTATAATATGGTTACTCTTAGTTTCACCTGGCCCACCAAACAAAATCAGAGTCGAGTATGCAGCTCTAAAGATAATGTTCAGTTACTTACTGAGAAGACGACCTTCCACTTCAAGGGATGAGAACAGCAATGCTGAGATGCTGATTTGATTTGGAAACTCTGCAAAGCAGATGGTCTGGCTAACTTTGACAACCCCCACCCCGCCACCCGCCATCCCCATTTTCCCCCTAAGGGCTAGTGCCAAAGACAACAACAATGATGATGATGATGATTGGTCAATTCTCTCTGAACGGTTACGGCTGCCATGCTACTGAAAAGAAGAGGGAGTCTGTTGCTGCAGCAGGTGTCAAGTGGAGCCTGCACCCCTTACACACTTCACCGTGTGTCAGTCCTGAAGCGCTCAGCACCTGGTACTGGCATTTGACTGAGTGTGTCTGTACTAGGGAAGGGCTTCGCTTTCGCTTCCTCTAGCTTTCCGATGCCTTTTCACTTTCACCTCCTCCTCCTCCTCATGCTGCTGCTGCTGTGGCTTGTTTTTTCTCTTTCCAACTCTGGGAGTCCGGGAAGGAGGTGGGGGAGGAGGTGGCAGGGGTGGTGGTAGGGGAGGGGGAGGCGGCGGGGTTTCCCGAGCCATGTGTATTACAGCCTCGATGGTGGCCATGATTGTATCTTGAGTGGCTGCTTGTTCCAATATTAAAGGATTCAGTGTGGGTCTCTGACCTCTTTTGCTGGGAAGGTCAATGCATTTTTCCAGAACGGGCATTTGGTCTCTGGAGTCTTCGTCGAATGAAAGAGGTTGCTTCCTGGGACGTCCTCTCCTCTTCTTGACGAAGTTATTGCCTGTCTTTGATTGTCTCTGCAGCCGCTTGGCTTTCAGGATTTTGTTCACGTGATCCAAGTTCTTTTTTGTGGACAGGATCTTGGTGTAGTTGCACATCTTGCGCACCTCGCACTGGATTGCTTCGATTTCACGGCGCTTGAATCTTTTCTTCAGTGGTGGGCTGGCCGCTGGGGATGGGAAAGAGAGAGAAACAGGGATTGTTAAAGCAAAAATGAATGGAAACTCTGCTTCTCCTTTCTCATTTAGTCCCAGGAAGAGCAGGTGTTTTAAAACACGTGGCAAATAGGACAGAATACAATTACCAGTGAGGGAAGATTTCAGAGACATGAAAGCTTGCAGGAAGGAACAATGAAGAAAGGATGACGCTATTACTATCATGGTAGAGACAGCTCTAGATAAATCATTCTTACCACTTTATTGCCAGTGTAGCTGCAGGCCCTTAGAGTCCTGCCTACAAAGAGCTGCCAAGGATATATGCCCTACTTGTGTTGGCTCTTGAGCAACCTCTTGGGTTGTACTACTATATACCTGGGAGTGCCAGGGTAAAGCATACCCACCATATCCATGCATGCCAAGGTTGAAGCTCACCTGCCACATCCATACCCATGCATGCCAACTCCCCCAAAAGGGGCAACAGCAGCCTTAGAGTGGCTCTGTGTACATGCCCTATGATGCTCTCAGAGCTTCTGTCTCGATCTCAGGATTGCTGGCATGTGATCAGGGCTGTTGCCTCATTTGGGGCATTTGGTGCATGTGTGGGCAAAGCAGTGTGGGTCCTGAACACAGCACAGAGGCAGCGCAGACAAGTCCAAAGACTTCTTGTCACTAAAGTTTCATGGTGACCATGACTCAACCCTGCTGCTGTAACCTAAAGGAGAGCTCTCTTCCCTTGCTCCCATGGCTTTTGGTGGGGACTCCCAAGTAGAAGTGCCAGGTGGGTTTAACATGCTACCTATGTGCAGGACTGATCACATGTGGTAGACTGCCCAAATCCTGTGTTATCTTCATTCTGAACTTTAATGGCCTGTGTAGCATCCCTTGAAGTGGGAAAGAAACAGAAACCTGTTGTAATGAATATAAATAGGGTTTGCAAGGGGACAGAGACAAATCCCCTGTGGTTTGTACTGGCTCCCAAAGTCCTTTATTTGATTTAAGTTTGAGTTGGTTTCTACTTCCCTACTGTATATTGATGGCAGTTTCTAGGTGCATATGTAGCATTTACCGCACTTACACACAGGTAGCAATTCAGCTTCCCTAGCAGTGTGGATGTGTAAGCGTGTATACAGAGACTGCGTACCACAAGCTCTGTATGGCCCAGGAACACATGCCCATTCTAGATGTATCTGGATCTAAGCTCACCAAAACAGTGCTGGCAAGGGGAAAGGATAATGCCTGTCTTGTGATGTCATGCATCCACATTGTACTAGGAAGTTAGAGACACAGGTTTAAACCCCTCTTTGAGGGATGGGGTGGGGCTTGAACCTAGGTCTCCAGCTTCCTGAGCAACCTAACCCATCCTATCCTAAATATTAATGTTGGGGCTAAAATGTGGGAGGGTCCTCTTCCTTCCATTTGCCTGAAATCTGTTAGTCATGGGTTTCTTCCAGCTCCCTTTTTTGTGATCCAGACACAGGTGTGCATCCAGAATGGGGGTGTGTGTGTGTGTGTGTGTGTGTGCAGTCACAGGCCTGCCCAGCCAAGCTATAACCTATGGCACATACTCAGTCTATGCATCTCTACTGCAGGGAAAATATCAGTGCCTATTGCAGAAATGCCAAAAACATCACTGGCACAGCTGGAAAGCTGGCACAGCCATATCGATGTAAAAAGGGGAGTTGAATTCTATCTCTGCTAGTGCTCCTTAATATCATCACCATAAATATTAGCTGGAACTCAACAGGCATAAAAAGTATTTCAATGGACTTTGAATCAAGGTCTTACTCTGATTCAGACCACTGTCATTTAACCCAGAGCCAGGTCCAAAGTAGCCAAGGCTCTTGCCAAGGCTGCAGTGAGTCACTGTCAGCGCCGAGGACAGAACTCAGCTGTTCTTGGCTCCCAGTCCTTTGCACAGGACACTAGACTTTGCTCGTCTTGCTTACATTGTTTAATTGTTCTTTGCTGGACCTGGCATCTGTTCATGGTTTGGAACCTGCACACTGATTATAAGTGACTATTCCTTGGTGAGTGAAACACAATGTATTAATTTTGCTATTGAAACAACTTGTGCTTCCCTTTCATTCCCAACATATCAGTTCTGCACTGATGGAAAAGAAATGATGTAGTTCAGGATTTTTTTTCAGTGAAGAATAAAACATCTCCCACTAAATTAACCTCAGTCCACTTCCACTTGCAAACTTAATTTACACCTGACTGTCAAGCAGTCAGTTGGGTTTGAAATCCTTGAAGTTTCAGAAGCAGCCAAGATTTCTAGAAAGGTTCATTTGGGGGTTATCACTCCCTTCATGGCTAACAGCCCAATCCTTCTAGCAGTAGTTTAAAAGAAAGTTGCTATTTTAGCATTTTCTGTAGATAACCGGGAGCAGTCAAGTGGCAGAAACTCTCTTTGCTCACTACGGGATATGACAATTTCAGACTAGAAAACTCATTTACCATCTTCCCCTTCTGGAGAATATAAATTATTGGCTCATATGCCACCATGTTGCTTGGAGCCTGCAAAGAGCTTGCGTAAACAAATCCAAGTTACAATGAAAGAAGTAGGAGTGAGTCATAAACAAAACACAGACATATGCTCTCATATAAATAAAGACCTGGATGGCCAACTTCCCAAAATCTGGCTTTCATTAATTACAAAACAAAATATATTTTCCATATGTAACTCTCTCCCCCCACCAGAAAGGGAGAGAGGAAGGGAAGTTGCTTACAGTTTCTGACTTACGGAGGACAAAAGAAAAGAGGAATGCACTCATTTTGGTACCAAACACAGAAAGAGAAGAGATGAAATTCTATCAAAAATCCAATTAATTGTACAATATTCCTTGCAAGTATTTGAGGCCCCCTTAAAAAGTGGACAGTAAGAAATGTAAGGCTGCATGGAACAAGCTGGGCCAAGATGGTATTTTATTTCCTGGACATCAAGGCAAATGGTCAAGGTCATGAGTGCCAAGGGTGACATCCTTGTCACATGGTAAAGGCCAGGATCAGCTGGCTCCACTGCTTACGATTACATCTTCCCATCCATTCTCAATCATGAGTCAGGCCCACAAAATCATGAGATTGGCTTCAAATTATGAGAGTTTTCATTTTTGAAATAACACATTTTGGATACACTTTTTATTTGCTTTCTGGTTTTTGTACTTTAGGGATATATTAGAATCATGTTTTCAAGCTTTCCTTTGCAACCACAAGGACCAGAAACAGATTTTTTTCAAGAAACAAAAGCTGGGATGCTTGGGTAATTGCAAAACTGTGGAAGCAGTGTATTTAAAACCATAAAATCATGAAATCTAGCATCACTTTCCCTACCCCAACACCTTTTTTTTTTTTACATGGATATAAGACATAACAGCAACCAAACATTTGAAAATATTGGTAGGCCTTTTACCAGCCATCTATCAATGACTTAACCTCAGCACTTGACTTCTGACTATCCCACCCTTCCTTCACTAGAGTTATTTTTGAAGTGGTCGGTTCAGCCACTGAACTGAGCACATTCCTGTCCTACCAGCATCATTATGAGTGTCCCCAAAAAGAAGATATCCGACACCATCCTCAGCTTTTCTCCCCCTTATATTGGGTGAAGTCCCTTTGGAGGATAAGATATTTGTCTCTGGTATGGACTGTGTAGTGGCTAACTTGGTAGGCTGATACCCACATTGGGCCTGTTTGCCCTGCCTTTTTGCAGCACCTGTGAAACCCAGTGTGACCATGCCTGGTACTTGCTCCCATTCAGTGCCCAACAAATCCCAGAAATGAGGCTATGCAGTTGTCTCAGAGCAGAGGTGAGCAATTAGGGCTGTGCAAAATGGGCCTTATTCGATTCGGATTTGGATTTGGCCTGAATCGGGAACAGTGATTCAATTCCTTGATTCAGATCACTGTCCCTGATTCGATTCGGCCAAATCTGAATCTAAAGATTCAGTGCTGATTTGGTGAATCAGCAATTTGGACACAGGCACAGCTTCAGAAGTTTTTTCTACATACCTTGAGGTAGCAGGCATGCCTTGTGATCACTGTGATGCTGGGGCACATGGAAATTCCCACAGGAGTGCGCGGAGGGGGACTCCATGTACTCGGCAGCAAACCCGGATGTGGACCAAAAGTACTTCCGGTCCACTTCCAAGTCTACTGGGGAGCGGCTGCCCCCCCCCATGACCCCTCCCAGATCAGGGATCAGCCACAGGAGGACCCTAGGTGTCCCCCCCCAGACCCAGGAGGTACCAGTCACCGAGCCAGGGGGGATGCAGTGGGGGGAGGGGGACCCTGTGCACTCTCCAGTGGACCAGAAAGTGCTTCTGGTCCACTTCTGGGTCTGCTGCTGAGTGTGATTGGGAGCCCCCCATGCTCCTGTGGGACACTCCACGTGCCCCAGCATTGTGGTGTTCACGAGCTGCCTGCTACCTAGAGGTATGTAAAAAAACATTTAAAGTTGTGCCTATGGCCGAATCACCGAATCCCTCTGAATCGATTCGGAGGGTTCCGATTCGATTCAGAGAGATTAAAGGGTCCTCTGATTCAATTCAGATTCGGAGATTTGGCCACCAAGTTGGGCCAAAACCCCACTAAACCGAATCAGGAACTGAAGTTTCACACAGGCCTACTGAGCATGTGCCAGCAAGTACACCTGAGACACAGCCCATGAGCTGCACTAAGCACATGTTCGGCCCCGTATTCAGCCAGACACAGTGCCTCATTTGGGGGAACTGGCGAGCATGGAGTGGGTGGGGATGCTTCCCAGAAGAGCTCTAGGGCCCAGGTGGAATAGGTCTGCCCCTTCTCTTTGCATGCTATCATTTTCTCTCATCTGCAAGCACACTTCTGTCCTGATTTACTTTTGTAAATATATTGAGGTTATTTACCATTTTTTCAAGCCACTGATGAATGGCGCCATTAATATCTTTACCCTTTCTACCTGGTAAACCACTGAGCTGGTAAGATAAATACAGCATATGAACTGGGTGGATATTCTAGCAATGATAAGCGTGGATCTCCTTAATGTCCCAGGCCTATTTTACTTTTTCAAGTCAAGCTACTTTTTTTGGGGTCTGGAGGACGTTTGCAAGTATTTTATGCAAGGCATAGTCAGGGGCATTTGAAGGAGAGATTTGATGAGGTATGTACATATCAATATATCAGATAAAATTGCCAAAATGCGAAGTGAGCCATTATGTGTTATCGACTCATCTGGAAGCCCTCAGTGAGCAAACTGCAGTATGTAATGTTTTTATATTGCCGGCGGTGTGTTGTGCAACATTTGAGCTGGAAAAAAAACTTGAGCAGTGGTCTATTATATGAGTTAAGCTCTCCAATTTTATCCAAATAAATCTGCCTGAACCTTGGACCCGGGGTGATTAGCATTCGCATTTGGGTTCAGCCATTCTTTAGGTATCCTATTTCCTGTATTTACTTTACATGTCACACATGAGCATTTTGTAAGAGGAGGAATATTTTCTTCTAGTTTCTACAGGCATAACTCACCCCACACTTGTGAGGATGGGGAGGGGCAATAGTAATCTTTCTTCTGTGTGCGGGCCCAGGGAGGAAGCTGGTACAGCTTGAACCTTGCCCCTGAGCAAGAAGCATATGACCTCCTTCAGCTCCCCCAGGCAGTGCGCTGCTCCCCTGGAGGCCTGAATCGAACCCTCCAGGTGAGCTGACATCTCAGATAGATGAACAGGAACAAACACAGGAAGAGCCAATGTACCTTCATTCTACTTCTGTGCGCAACTAAACCTTTTCTTTAAGATTTTAAATGATTTGGTAAGACGCTGTCTACCTGCCTCAAACCACAGTCTCTACTCAACTTACAACCACTCCATGTCAGCCTCCTATTGTCCTCCTCTCCTTGCTTGCTTTGGGAAGATGACGATGGGCAACCATGCCACTGCTTCTCAAAAATGCAGTCATCTCAGCTGGGCTTACAGAGAATTTGAATTCAGCACCAGCAAAGGCAGTGGGCAAGGGGCTGAGGACATCCTCACAAGAGGAAATGCCCAAAGACTTGGAGGTGGGGGGTGGAGAAGAACTTCTTCTGCTATGAAGAAAAGCTGTAGGAAAGGATCAGATGGAAGGATTCAGGCATCAGTGAAGTGATACCAGGATGAAGGCTTTGGGGAGACTTCCAAGCTCCCTCCTGAAAGATCATTACAGGCCACAAATTAAGAGCGCTGGCCTTTTGATGGTTTTGTCATAGTGAGCACCCCCTCTCAAAGTATGGATAATTTGGATAGACATCTTGCTTAAGATGGGAACCCAGGTGTCTGGGGGCTACCCAGAACCAACAGAGACACCTCTGCACAAATAATGTTTTACCCTGTGCAAATACTCTGATTCAGATGCAGCCCCTTGAAATATTCTGTATTCACTGATCCCTCAAACTGACTCCTTCATTTCCTCTCCCGTTGCATATGACAACCCCAACTGACTGCACCAACTGAACACACAAGGATTTTTAAAAAAAGCAGTTCCAACCAATACTGCGCTTAAAACATTTTTTCACACGTTGCAAGAATGGCCCATGACGATTCTCATGTACATAGATTGTGGCGCTGTCCCGTCTCGCTGACAGAGACAACTTCAAATGGCTTCAAGCCATGCCAGGAAGTCACAGAGGATTACCATGACACAGGAAACAGATTCTGAGGCATAGAAGGGGAAATCTTTACTTAAGTTAGGTATTTGCAATGCTGGTTTAAAAGAGCTGAATTACCCTGCATGGGGCTAAAAGAGGAGACGAGCACAGGTAGATCCAAGTTTATTTTGGCACCTCACTCTTATCCTCTTTCACTTTATCCTGGATAATTTTGCTTGTCTGCAGTACTAAAATCATTCTTAACAACCGTCATTACAGATCTTTTTGGAGCTGCCAGAGGCCATTTATAAAAACGTTGTACAGGGAAGACTGCTTGCTCAACAGCTGGCCTTTGTTGACTTGGTTTGAATTAAGAAGTTTTCAAAGAGCTTCCCATTAATTACAGGAAACCCACAGTACTGTCCTGTTTTCCCATTAACACAGTTTCTTTCAGTTTTCACTAAATTATCACAACATCTGGGCTACAGATAAACCAACAATTTAATTAGACTTCTGAAAATGGAAAGAGTGAACTATGCAGTACAGTATGCGCTTTCATCTTGCGACTGATCATAAAATATCTGCGTGATTTCATTCTCCACTGCGTTAAAAAATATCTCCCCTTAGTTTACATACAGGAAATTATAAAGGGCTAAACAGAGATACCTGTATATTTGATATAATATTTATCTCGATAGAAACCACTTTATATGGGGAACGCTGGTTTTCATTATTTATTTAAGATGCTCATTTAGACACTTTCCACAGCTTACTAATTAAACTGGTTATTCATGAAATAACCAATCCTAGGGCCTGCTCTGTGAATGGGAAACTGAGGCAGAGCAAGGCTAAGAAACTGCTGATCAGAGGGAGATCTCAGCATAAGACAGTACCCTGCAGATTCCCTATTACAGAGCCTGGGGTTTGCCTGTCTCACCACATTCAAGACACAATGCAACATCCATCTCCTGTGATCCTTTCCTGAGAACCATGCCAATGGTTAAATTGACGTAGAATGAAACCATTGAAAGAAATGATCTAATTTACAACAGAATCACAGCACATGGCTGGATTAGAAAAGTCCATTGAGCAGACAGCCATGAACCTACTTATTCCCATCTATTTTTAAATTCCTGTCTCTTGCATTAAATGCTTTCCCCTACATTATCACATTGAAGTCACTCAAGGATACAAAAGGATTACTCAATTGCTTCTTAGATATTTATTGTGTATTTGGTATGTGCATAGGGATAGGACGATCCCAAGAAAAGAGCTACATAGTTAGAAAAGAGCAATAGAATTGAAAATGAAACCCAAAAGTCTTGAGTTGTAGTCCCCTGCTGGACTGGAAATGTTGATGGTACTTATTTCATTATTACTGTGATATTATCAATGTTTGAATAATAAGGACTTGAAGTGCTGAGACAGGATAGCAATTAGACACCTGATCGTTATGCTGGACATGCATCTTTGCGATCGGTTTGTGAGAGCTGTGCATGCACAAATTGTTCGCTTAATTGGACCTCCTAGCGACTGGTTAGATAAACAGAAGGGCAGGCAAAGATACAGTTACCTGCTTCAGATGTTGCTGATGATGAAGGTAGGAGAGATAATACTGGAGTTGGTGGCATTGCAACACTTTCAACAGCTGCTGGTTTCCTTCTGGTCATCATGTTACAGGCAGAACTTTCCATTTTGCTATGAAGTGAAGTCTGGTCTGCTTTCAAGTGGGGACTTGCAATTCCTGGGATAAAGACAAAAATAAATGGCTGAATATATATGAATCTTAAAAATAATATGTGCCGGGTATCTATTGCTTTCTCCATGTACTGACAGACTACAGGCTTGTAATATGGTTTTGATATTAGTAAGGTTCATGATTTTAATATATTTTTAAAAACAATTTTGCCTTAAGATATATGCTCTCTGTTCTCTATAAAAAGCAAAAGGCAACATCACAATCCCACATAGCCATTTTCTGCACAAACCAAACAAATATATATAAAGACAGCCAGGTCTACCTCTCTGTTCAGGATTATTTCCCATTTTCTTGCATTCACCACATTCACTTATAAACTTTCTGTTATGATCCCTTGAATCCTTGGGTGTTTTGCCTAGTAAGGACTGAATAAAAATGGAAGAACCACCTCAGAATTTGATTCTCTGATGTTAAGCTTATTGACTTTTGACAGGCTTTTTAAAAATCATCCTCCTAGTAAAAATTACTTTTGCAAGTGAACAGTGGGCTGGGAGGTCATAACAAAGATAATGGCCCATTCAACATCCAAGGTTTTGCTAACACAGTCTGAAAGAATGAACAACAAAAGCATGAACATAAAACAAATCAGAACGATAACAATGCTCCAAAGATGCAAGGTCTTCTGGACAGAAAGGTGTATATCACAGATGGGCTTCGTAGCACCACCTGTGATTAAGGTTAACACCACCTAGTATAAGACCCTGTCTTCAGTTGCTTACAACTATCCCAAACTTTAGTTGTGAATTTGTATAGCTGTCTCAGTCTGGTTTGATTTTATTTTTTAAATCAATCAGATTGGCTCAGACATCTCTAATGATGGGATCATAAGCGAAAAAAAGTAGAATGTTTTCCCCATGTTAAAAAAATAATCTGGTGACTTCTTTTTAGGAAAGTCTTTGTGGCTATGGAATAGGCAGTCAAAATTAGCAGCGGGTGTTTCAGCAATATTACTTTTGCCATCTCTGTAAAAGTTTGCTCAAAGGGAAACCTTTGAAAAAACCACACAGGGGGATGAGAAGCTTGCGGAGCATAGCCTGGGACTAACCAGGCTACGCAAGAGGGACTAGGGTCAGGGAAACACATGGCTGGGATGGGCAGGTCGGAAAGAATGAGACCTAAAGAGGGCATCATGAGGCAGAAGAGTCTACATTTACCAACTGGATTCTCCTTCTGAAGCTGAAACAGAACAAAGGCATGGGCCCATGGATAATTCATCATGTATTAAATGAAGGTGGAGGTTTACAACATGTCATGTAGTCCACAGTAACTATTTGTATGTATGATCTTATCCCATGGTATGTTATCCCATGGGTCAAGATATCATGTATTATCTTCTCTTGCTAAGGCGTAAGAGCATGCATATGGACAGCTATCACGGAATAACTGATCCATTGTAACCCTTCCTTCATTTATCTTATAGCAACTTATTTGCATATTCACCCATGTCTCAAAATCCTTAGTTTTGCCACCTTTCTGCTCCCAGCAAATATCTGTAAAACCAAATGGCAATGCCTCTCCTCTTCCCAACTTTGTTCTACTCCACACTGTGGATAACAACCTACCGTTGCTATCAGTTTCTCTGCTGGGTCATGCAGCAGAGCTCTGTGCAGTGCATCAAAAAGTTTCAGCTGTGGGAGTCAATATAAAGCTTCTCTATCAAAATCAGAATTTTAGCCAATTTTGGATTTGAACTGCATTGCTGAACAAAAAGAAGGATTTCTACACCTCCCTGCCTTTCTGCCATTGGACACCACCAGGGAAGGAATCCTGCCTGATCTGCAGGTCAAACAGCAACTCACAAAGACACTCCCCTGGACACAGAGGAACAGACTTCCACCTTCAGCTTCCCCTGTGCAAAAATGAAGTTTATTTTCTATCTATGGGGACTTTTAGCCATCTTTAAATTTCCCTGAGCCTGAGGAAAGGCATGGGCACCCAAAAGCTTGCAGAAAAAGATAATTTGTTTGCAGTTTCTTAGTTGGTCTCATAAAAGGTATCATCTCTGAACCAAGAGTTTGAGAGTGTTGCATTTCTTTCGATCGAAATCAAAAGTGAGGAAAGTGAAAATGAAGGTTGCTTATGGAAACTTAATTTGGCTACCTTATATGTGAATGTTTAATATCAGAGTATTGAATCACATATCAGATCCCCTCCCCTTTTTTTTTGGATATTCATTGCTCTGGATATGAATCAGGGCTTGGTAGCAAAGGATGCGGTTGCCTAAAGGACCCCTGCCTCGCTTCTCAGAGAGGTCAGATAAACTGCAGTGAATGCTGCTGGAGACTGCAGGAAGAGAAAAGAGGGTTTCATGATTAAGGCAGCTGAGCGCCTCCCTGGAGAGCTGTATTCTACCCCTGCCTCTGCTGAACAGCTCCTGACATGATTCTGCAAGGACCTTATACCAAACTTTTTACAGGCAGTCACCAATTGTGCGCTCCTCATTATCTAGGTGCCTGACTTGGTGTCTGGTTGCAAAAGCTCTGAGCATTCACCATTGCAATTGAAGTCATGGAGAGCTGTGCTTTGAATATAGACAATGCTATATAATGCTCAGCACTCGGAAACAAAATCAGATTCGAAGCCTCTCAAATTGGATACTTGGGACCCTAATCGCTCTGTGCCTCAGTTCCCCCATTCATAAAATGGGGATAATAATATTCCCTTCATGTCACGGAGGTGCAGTGAAAGTCAAATTATTAATATCTGCAAAGCACTCAGACACAATAGGGATGAACATCAGAAGGAAACCTCCGAGGAAATTAATAATTTGGTATTCAGAGCAACGTTTGAAAACATGCAGTAAATAAGATGTAGAGACACACATTGAATAATGAGAAGAAAACAAGATATTAAAAAGCTGTTCCTTAAAGTAAGCAGCATGTAATGAATGAAGAAGCGCTGCTCTGGGAAACAAATAGCCCGAGATTTTGTATTTAAAGACTGCATCACAATGCAAAGGCACAGAGGCACCCAATTAAGATTGCGCAGGCAACCTCAATTCCGGCATTTCCTAACTTTTGCCTTTGCAGCCTTAAGAAATGTAGTGTGCGTGCATGTAAAAAGCGCACGTGTGTGTGTATAAATATACGCATATCGACACATAGACGCATGTACACATATGGCACATAATAATGCTAACAGCCTCATAAATTCAACATCTGGGTATAATTAAACTGAAGGGTCTATATAAAGAGCTGTATGAAAACATGCAGCTGTAACCTGTTGACCTTTATTGATAAAAAAAAAAGCCTCTGTGAAACTCTGCTTCAGCATATCAAGGGACAGTCATTCATTTTTCAAAGGTAATCCCTCACAAACCACTTATCCTCTCAAATCTCTACCTGCACACAGTGTTTGCATTAGGGACCTTGATTTATGGATTCCCGCTCCTTGGATGGAGAGGCCTACTTCCTGTTGCCGTGGTTACTTGGATTTTGGTTCAAGGTTAAACTACTCCCAAATCAAAATCAGTGGCAGGCACAGCATCTAACAGCCAGGTTATTGACTATCCTAGGATGCTTAAAGGTCAAAGACCAAAGTGCTGCTTACTGCCTTCAGGGTGAGTCAATATTTCCAATATTTTTATTCTGTTTCTTCTGAAGAAGGGGTTGCTGCTCAATTACCACCTATCTGGGTTTAGCAAGGTTATACAAATCATTGAGGAAAATCCTCCTCGCAAAAGGAAGAGTTACAAATGTAATGAATTACTTCAGAGACTATGCTGTCCAAATGCCATTCGTCATTGGCACACAGCGGGATTGCTAGTATTTTTTTAAGCTATTACGTAAGGTCTTCCTTCAGTTGTCTAATTCTCCCTGGTGCAAATCAAGTTTGAACCTGGAGGTGGAAATAACCTTCGGACTTGGGCGTCTATTGGGAAGCAAATGGAAATAATCAGTTTTCATCCACAGATCTCAAATTGCTTCATAGACATTACCAACTCTGTTTTACGAAAAGGGAAACCGTAAGGAAGGTAAGGTCACCAGAGTGCCCCAAGGGATGACAAGATCGAACGGTCATAAACTACTACAAGACCATTTCAGGCTGGACATAAGGAAGAATTTCTTTACTGTCCAAGCCCCCAAGGTCTGGAACAGCCTGCCATCGGAGGTGGTTCAAGGACCTACATTGAACACCTTCAAGAGCAAATTGGATGCTTATCTTGCTGGGATCCTGTGACCCCAGCTGACTTCCTGCCCTTTGCGCAGGGGGCTGGACTTGATGATCTTCCAAGGTCCCTTCCAGCTCTAATGTCTATGAAATCTATGAAATCTATGGAGGGCCAGTGATTTGCTGGGATGGCTCAGTGAGTCAATGGCTGGGCCTTGGGTAGAACCCAAGCCTGCAATTTCCCAGGTTGGTGAACTAGGCTAGCCCGAATGTCACCCCCACCTTCAGCTCTTCCCAGTGTTATGTTGTGTCCAGAAGATCTCACATACAAGGGGCCCCCACATTTAGTCTACCTTGAAATCTAGTGGCAAATACCCACTTGGCTTCAAACGTTGCCAATGAGAACTCATAACATCATCCCTATGTAGGAGCCTACCGCATTTTATACTTTGCTTCTGTTTGCATCCTACCTTCTTGGCTTCAAACTCTGCCAATGGGAACTCATAACATCATCCTTATGTGGGAGCATCTTGTATTTTATACTTTGCTTCTGTTTGCATCCAAGAACGAAGGCAGAACGACTTAAAAGTTCTGGGCCTGATTCTGACTCTATTTATCCCACTGGGTCTCTGTTGAACTTAATGGGTCTACTCCTACGGACCAGTGTAAAGTGAGATCAAATTGACCTCTTGTGTCTTGAAAGCCTTGCTGACATCACAGATTATAATAAGTGTCCATACAAAGAAGCAGAACAAGACAAAGCAGAGGGGGAACAGATTAATACCTGCCCAACAGCAAAAGGCAAGACAAATCCAGATGAGAAACGTTGCTGGGTTTTTGATCTAAGGGTTTTTGCTATAAACAGTAAAGGGCTG